CTCTGTGCCTCATGTGTAACAACTAAGCACTATTTTTATTGATTAAGAATGCCTTAGGGTCTTGTTCTGCGTAGCAATGACTTTTGAAAGTATGCCTTCCATACAAGCAATCTATTGCCCAAAAGAGAACCTCTGGAGAGTAAAATTTTCTACCTCATTATATAAATATGCTTTACACATCACTCAAGTATTTACTAAGCTGCTAGCATCTGCCAGACACTTCCTACTATGTGTGATTCCCTATTCTAAGCGCTGGGGATGTATTGGGGAAGAAGACAAGTGGCTGACCTCACAAAGCTGATGTCCCATGTGTGTGGGGTGGGGAGGGATGATAGATGACAAACACAGACATCTGCAAACATATGCACAGATATAATGCAGTTCTACATAGTGATTGTTAATATGCAGATGAGAAAACAGTGTAATGGAATAAAGACTGACTGGAAGAAAGGAGTGGGTGCACTGTCTTTGGTGTCTGTAGATGTGGGGAATAGAAAAAACATTTTCAGAAGAGGTGAGATTTCCATTGAGATGTAAATGTGGAGAAGCAGCCAGCCATGCAAAGGTATTGGAGGGAGACACTGCAAGCAGAGGACTCTGAGTACAAACGTCCTAAGAAAGGAACATGTCATGGTCAAGGGACAGAGTATATAATTTGAGTGGATGGACAGTTATGAGTCAGGGAAAAAGAGGTAAGAGATCAAGCTGGGGAGAGAAGCAGGTGCCAAACACAAAGGGTCTTCTGGGTTCTAGTAAGAAGTTTGAGTTCTACTTAAATTACAATGGAAAAATACTTGAAAATTTGGAGGAGGAATATGACACAATATGATTGTTATGTTTTAAAAGATTATTTCAGCTTCTGGGGGTGAAAAGAATATGAGGTCAAATGCAGAATCCAGGAGTCCATTTGAGGGGCTGCTACAGGGTCACTTGGGTGGGGATGGTAACAGCAGAATTAGTGAGAAGGGGTCAGGTTATGTTTTTGAGGGTAGATCCTTTGAAGGTTGGTGACAGAGTGTCACATCATGGGTGACAAGGGAATGAACAAAATCAGGAATGGCTCCAGGGTCCTTCATATGTAAAGAGAAAGCAATATAACTGAGGCACATCCCACTCCTTGGTATAGGAATGTTATGTTTAGTTTTTTATTCTTTCTCAGGCTTCTGACATGGAGAATTTTCCACTCAATGCTATCAGAAATCCTGTGACTGGATAGGTTGAGTAAAAACCTATGTGATTATGAATATACAATGCACAGCAGATCGGGATCATAAGATTTGTTTCTTGGTCAGGGGTAGCACACTTGTTTACCAGAGTTTTTATGAAAATAATAATTAGGTGAGGATGATTGGACTCATGCTTTAAAACAAAAAATATATACATCTTGCTAAATAGCCACATTGTTTAACACATGGACAACTAGGAATATATACAGTGGAGTACGAGCTACAGATGAAAGATCAGCCTGTTCTGATGCCATTTGTATTATTTTTCTTCTTGCATAGTCAATGTCCTGCTGATTCCTCTTGTATGTGTTCATGTTGTTCCCTCATTGTGAAGCTCAGAAAAAGAGGTTAAATGGGCTCACAGTTCCACATGACTAGGGAGGCCTCACAATCATGGTGGAAGGTGAAGGAAGAACAAAGGCACATCTTACATGGTGGCAGGCAAGAGGGCATGTGCAGGAGAGCTGCCCTTTATAAAACTATCAAATCTCATGAGACTTATTCACTATTATAAGAACAGCATGACAAAAACCCACCACCATTATTCAATTACCTACTACTGGGACCCTCCCACAACGTGGGGATTATGGGAGCTATAATTCAAGATGAGATTTGGGTGAAGACACAGCCAAACCACGTCAACTATTTAATCCTTTTCTGCCTTTTTTTTTTTTTTTTTGAGATGGAGTCTCCTTGCTCTGTGCCCCAGGCTAAAGTGCAGTGGCATGATCTTGGCTCACTGCAACCTTTGTCTCCAGGGTTCAAGCGATTTTCTTGCCTCAGCCTCCAGAGTAGCTGGGATAACAGGTGCATGACACCATGCCTGATTGATTTTTATATTTTTAGTAGAGACAGAGTTTCACCATGTTGGTCAGGCTTGTCTCCTTCTCCCAACCTCGTGATCTGCTCACCTCAGCCTCCCAAGGTTCTGGGCTTAAAGCTGTGAGCTACTGCACCTGGTGTCTGCTTCTTTAATATATCTGGTCATGTGAAATATATTGACAGACATTCTTTTAGTTTTTAAAGATTATACACACACAAACATATCTTCACACATAGAGAGATATAAAACTCTAATTCAGAGACCTTCTAAATAAAAAAGAGTAGTGTATACTGAATGTGAATGAACTGTGTTTTAACTGAAAAAGCTGTGGTTATCAAGTGATACCATGCTGCTAACAATGTCTTTAAAAGTTCCAGCTGTGAGCTGACACTTGATGGACATGAAAACTACAACTCTGACATGAAAATATGATGTGGCTAACTTGGTAAAAATATCACTGATAGCAAAACAGGCTCTGGAATTTTTTCACTACAGCATCTGTAAAGATCTCATTACTGGCATTTTGACAACTGCCTGTATTTCAGAGTGTGGGTTGACTGTTCCAGATGTAGTTCGCAAAAACATTCTCTTCTTCCATTTAGCAAGCTCTTGATATTGAATTGGAATTAGGTTGAAAGTTCTTGTCTCATAGCACTATGTGCAGGAGGCACTTTACTTGCTAGTGATACACGTCTTAGGCACCTTGGGATCTTTTATGATTTCCTTGCCACACAGAGCTCAGGGTGGACACACTGCAGGGATTCAGGATATATTTCCCATTCCTCCTCTTCCCTCCCATCATGAACCCTCTTGCACTTATCTTCTATGAACAATTTCTGTCCCATTCCTTATACCTGGATTCTGTCTCCATCTCTAGCTTCTTCACGTTAATACAATAGTCAGACTATATTTCTGGCTTTGTATTCCACATTGTCTCTTAGATCACCCTTGACTGGGCTCCCCATGACCTAAATTCAGTTATCCACTCCAAGTTTACTCTTGTCTGGAAATGAGTTTAGAAGTCATATTATCAAAGGCCTGGGTGATGGTGGTGAATCTCTTCTTCAAATATTTCCCTTACCCGTTTACTGTTACCTCATCTGTTAACTGGTACCTGTAATTAAATTATGCCATAAAGATAACATTGTTTCATAATGCCATGACATTTTCTTGTCATTCTACAATCTTTAGTACTTGCTAAAGTTTGAATCATTCCAAGCCTGGCATTTTTAATAATCTGGGAATGAGTTTTAATAAGAAAACAGTGCCTTAAGACTGAGTTGGAAGGGACAATGTCTAGGACACCAGGAATGTATGTGGGCATGCTTATATGTGCTCAAAATTGGGCTGCTGTTTATGTCTCCAAGTCACAAAGTCATGCTTTCTTTTACTGTGATTTTTATTCTTAAAAAATACAGAATTAAATAGGTCCAAGTTTTCAGTAGAAATAACTTGTACAAAGAAGATAAGGATGGTTTAATTTAATTGCTAGTCATGCAGGCAATTTGCCCAGTTTGAAGATGAGGGTCCAGCATAATGTGACAAAGAGCATTTTCTCATAAATACCATAAGTGGTTCTGCAGATGACATGCTGTCCACTTTGCCCAAATTTGTGATTATTTCCTCAGGAAATGGAATTACTGGGCTAAAGGGAGTTAACATCTTTAAAGTTCTTGTTAACCACTGAGAAACTGGCCATAAGAAAGACTGAATAATGTATATACCTGTCAATTGCAGCCCATCGTTACTAATGCTAAATATATTCCTCAAAAATTTTTTTCTGTTTAATAGGGTATAAAGGACATTTAATTTTTTATTCAATATGCCTTACTTTGGTCATGAATAATTTCCCTGCCTTGCCCTGCCTCGAATTGCCTTGCCTGGAATTGCCCTGCCCTGCCTTGCCTTGCCCTGTCTCGAATTGCCTTGCCTGGAATTGCCCTGCCCTGCCTTGCCTTGCCTCAAAATGCTTTGCCTGGAATTTCCCTGCCCTGCCCTGCCCTGCCTTGCCATGCCTCAAATTGCCTTGCCTGGAATTGCCCTGTTCTGCCCTGCCTTGACTTGCCTCAAATTGCCCTGCCTGGAATTTCCCTGCCCTGCCCTGCCTTGCCTAGCCTCCAACTGCCTTGCCTGGAATTTCCCTGCTCTGCCCTTCTTTGCCATGCCTCGAATGGCCCTGCCTGGAATTGCCCTGCCCTGCCTGGAATTGCCCTGCCCTGCCTTGACTTGCCTTTAATTGCCTTGCCTGGAATTTCCCTGCCTTGCCCTGCCTTGTCTTGCCTCAAATTTCCTTGGAATTTCTCTGCCTTGCCCTGCCTTGCCTTGCCTCAAATTGCCTTGCCCTGCCCTGCCCTGCTCTGCCCTGCCTCGAATTGCCCTTCTCTGCCCTCCCTCGAATTGTTTTGCTGTGCCCTGCCCTGCCCTGAACTGCCTCCAATTGCCCTGCCCTGCCCTGCCCTGTCCTGCCCAGGATGAGCAGCGGTGAAGGATGCTCCTGGGGTCCCTGGCTGGGAAAGGTATTAGGGGTCACACGTACCTAGGCTGAGGCAAGGAGAATACGTGTCCGGGGTAGCAGTGGTGCTGATGGCTCTTCACTGTCCATTGAGGAGCTTCTTCTGTGTGACCTTGCACTCATGCCCACCAGGCGCCAGGAAGTTGGTGGGCAGCATCTGCTCACTGAGTCGGGTCCCTGCTGCTCCTGGCCCTGCAGACTGGGAAATCTTAAAACTCCTCTTTGGAGATTATAGGTGACTGCAGCCAGTTAGGAGCCTGTCTACGTGGAAGTGCCGGCTCTGCAGCGGCTTCCATCACCAGCCTGCGCATGCGTGCTCCTGGAAGAACCAGCAGCACCGCCTCTACTTCTGATTGGCTCCGCATGAGGGGCCGGCCTATGAAAACATCACGGCAGCGCGCCCCCGGTGGCGTCACGGCGCACGGAGACGGGCCTCTGGCGACGTCACAGAGGCGAGCCTTAGGCGACTTCACGCGGAGGTGTGTTGCCTAGGAGCTGTGTTGTCTTCTCCCCAGAGCAGAGTCCGGTAACCTCCACCTTCCGCTGCGTCCTGTGTGCTGCTGGCTGGAGAAGGGTAGGTAACAAACTCCGACCCAGCACAGTATTTATGTGGGTTCAAAAATAGAAAAAGTGTGTCCGGACACTGGGGAGGTGGGAAGTTTTCTTCAGGCCAGGAGTTCAAGAGCAGCCTGGCAAAGTGGTGTGACCCCATTTCTGTAGTCCCACCTCAGCCTCCCAGCTACTGGAACCCCAAGGTTCAAGGCTGCAATGAGCTATGATTCTACCACGGCACTCCAGCCTGCGAGACTGAGGTAAACCCTGTCTAAAAAAAAAAAAAAGAAAACTATCCAAGCGTGCAACATTGGGGGACTGCTTAAAGAAAAATTGAGGCTGCCTGGGCCCTGTAATCCCAGCATTTTGGCAGGCCGAGGCGGGAGGATGGCTTGGAATCAGGAGTGTGAGACCAGCCTGAGCAACATGACAAAACCCCGTCTCTACAAAAGATACAAAAATTAGCGAGGTACAGTGCATGCCTGACCTAATATTTTGTATTTTTTTGTAGAGTTGGGAGGGGGAGATGCTCCCATTTTGCCCAGGCTGGTCTCAAACTCCTGAGTACAAGCCATCTTCTCACCTTGGCCTTCAGAGTTGTTGGGATTAAAGGTGTGAGCCACGGCGCCCCACTTGGTTTAGGCTATTTAATAACAAAGTCCGTGGCTCAGCTTGCTGGCTCACACCTGTAATTCCAGCATTTTGGGAGGCCAAGGCAGGTGGATCACCTGAGGTCAGGAGTTTGAGATCAGTGTAGCCAACGTGATGAAACCCGGTTTCTACAAAGATTAGCGGCATGTGGTTGCACATGCCTGTAGTCCCAGCTACCCAGGAGGCAGGGGTTGCAGTTAGTTGAGATCACATCACTGAACTGTAGCCTGGTTGACAGAGTGAGACTCCAGAGTTTGAGACCAGCCTGGGCAATGTAGTGAAACCCTGACTCTACAGAACAAACAAATAAAAAAGGGAGGTGTAACTGTGTCCACTTGTGTCCCCTGCCACTTAGGATACTGAGGCAGGAGGATCACCTGAGACCAGGAGCAGGTCTGCAGTGAGTAGGGTCATCCCACAGCTCTCCATCCTGAGCAGAAGAATGAGACCATGTCTCTAGATAGCTAGCTAGATAATTGATACATAGTTTTCTATCACAATTTGTTCCCTACATTTGAGCATATTTTTCTAAAGTAGCATTCAACACAACAGCATTTTACAGTGTTATTAGTTGTTAATGTGATTATGTTTTTCTGAAATACAGTGTCCTTTACAAAAGCAGTTTTCGTCTGTCAAAGCTCACAGATAGGTCCTCAAGTGAATTTGCCTGATGTTGGTGACCTTGGTACCATTTTCTCCCATTGATTGGAACAGTCAGTAATTTCAGGTCACTGTTACCCTTGGAGGAAGAGCCCAAAGGCAACAAGGGCACTGGTGTCCAGTCCCTTCTAGAAGCATTTTCATCTTCCCTTAAGGTTTCCCTAGATGAACATGGAAGTATTGTATGTAGAATTGACTGTTCCAGCATCTTTGTATATTAGGCCAAATTTATATGTCTTCCTTTTATGAGAGGCACCCTGATAGGCTGGGGAGTTACACATGAAGTCTGATCTCAGCTTCACTGTCCAGAGATGCAAATGGTCCAATCAAATAACATTCTCTGAGCCTGTTTCTCTTTTACTTATTTCATTTATTTTTTTCTTTTTTAGAGACAGGGTCTTGCTCTTTCACTCAGGCTGCAGTGCAGTGGTGTGATCTCTCAGCTGACCAAAACCTCCACTTCCAAGGTTGAATTTATCCTCTTGCCTCAGCTGCCCTAGTAGCTAGGACTACAGGTGAGTGCCACCATGCCCAGCTAATTTTTGTATTTTTAGTAGAGCTGGGGTTTCACCATGTTGGCCAGGCTAGTCTCAAACTCCTGACCTCAGGGGATCCACCCACCTTGGCCTCCCACAGTGCTGGGGTTACAGGTGTGAGCCACTCCCACCTGGCTAACTGTTGACTTTTTTTTTTTTGAGATGGAGTTTTGCTCTTGTTGCCCAGGCTGTAGGGCAATAGCTCAATCTCGACTCACTGCAACCTCTGCTTCCTGGGTTCCAGCTATTCTTCTGCCTCAGCCTCCAGAGTAGCTGGGATTACAGGCATATGCCACAGTTAATTTTATATTTTATTAGAGATGGGGTTTTTTCATGTTGGTCAGGCTAGTCTGGAACGGTTTACCTCAGGTGATTTGCCTGGCTCAGCTTCCCAAAATGTGGGGATTACAGGCATGAGCCACCATGCCCAGCTCTTGACTTTTTATAGCTGTTATATTAGTTGAATCTTGAGTAAATAAATGCTAGCTTAAAAGTTGCAGTTCAGGGAATCTTCTGTTTCTGTTATTTAAAAAATTATTTGTATAAGTCCCATAAGGTTACACTAATGTTTATGTTTTGAAAATATTACTTCTTCCATTTAGTACTATATGTATTAAATAATATTAGCTGGTATGTTTTTCTCACTTTATAATGTGGTTCAGATTTCTGTAGAAAGTCTGTCTGTATCTACATTGCCTTAAAGTAATGGGATCTACCTATCTTTTCTTTTCTTTTTGAGCTGGAGTCACCCATGCTAGAGTGCAATGGTGTGATCTTAGCTCACTGCAACCTCTGCCTCCTGGGTTTAGGTGATTCTCCTATCTCAGCTTCCAAAGTAGCTAAGATTACAAGCACTCACCACCATAACTGACTAATTTTTGTATTTTTCATAGAGATGCAGTTTTGCCATGTTGGCCAGCCTGGTCTCCAATTCCTGACCTCAAGCGATTCACCTGCCTTGGCCTCCCAAGTGCTAGGATTACAGAGGTAAGTTGCCCTGCCTGGCTGTAATGGGATATTTCACTGCAAACTTTGATGAACAGAATATTAGCATTTTTGGTGTTATTTTTATTTTCCTCACACTATTTTTCTTTGGACTGAATTACAATAACAGAAATAAAGATCAAATTATAAAATTTCAAGAGCAATGCCTGGCTCAGTGGCTCATGCCTGTAATCCCAGCACTTTGGGAGGCCAAGACAGGTGGATCATAAGGTCAGGAGATCGAGACCATCCTGGCAAACATGATGAAATTTCGTCTCTACTAAAAGTATAAAAATTAGCTGAGCATGGTGACGGGCACATGTAGTCCCAGCTACTCAGGAGGCTTAGGCAGGAGAATCACTTGAACCCGGGACACAGAGGTTGCAGTGAGCTGAGATTGCGCCATTTCACTTCAGCCTGGCGACAGCGAGACTCCATCTGAAAAATAAAAAGTTAAAGATTAATACAGGTTTTGTTTAAATGATCTCCCTTTTTCTTTTTGTCCTTACAGCTCAAATAATAAAAGCCAATGGTCTGTTGATGATCCTATACCCTTTTCTCTAGTCTCATGTTGAAGATCTTCATGTAGAAGGACTTCCCAAAGGAATGTTTTTTCCTTTGTGCGACAGAGTTTTCACTCTTGTCGCCTCGGCTGAAGTGTAGTGGCATGATCTCAGCTCACTTCAACCTCTGCCTCCTGGGTTCAAGCAGTTCTCCTGCCTCAGTCTCCATATGGGCCAGGCTGGCCTCAAAATCCTGACCTTGTGATACACCTTCCTTGGCCTTCCAAAGTGCTGGGATTACAGGCATGAGCCACTGTGCCCAGCCTATTTTATGTATTTTTTATCTTCCTTTTTTTAATTTATCTGGGTCCAGCTTTGAGTCAGTGATGGCAATGTTAGCTTTTGAAACATGAACACCTCCCACACCTGACTGGCTGCAACTTACATTTTCTTTTACAATGTTGTGCTACTTTTACTGAAGAAAATAGTATCCATGTCTTGCTTTTAGGCCTGAGATTTTTAAAGCATATGTGGGAATATGTGATTCTTTTTGTAGATATGTAGAGGAAAATAGCCTTGAATGCAATGCAATATTAAAGGATCCCATTTGAGATTTTTGTAGTATGCTTCAAAGAGCTGTGTGTTGCCAAGTTACCACTTTACTTGTGAGGACACATGCTCCATGAAGCAACTTATGAGGCAATTTGCAATAATTTTTTTTGTTGTTGTTACTCTATAGAAACCTCAACTGAAGATTTAGTTGTGCCCAAGCATTCGGATTGTCTTTTCTTAATTTTTTTCTGAGAGGGAGTCTTGCTCTGTCACCCAGGCTGTAGTGCCGTGATGTGATCCCAGCTCACTGCAACCTCCCCCTCTTGGGTGCAAGCAATTCTCCAGCTCAGCCTCCTGAGTAGCTGCCATTCCAGGTGCCTGCCACCACGCCCAGCTAAGTTTTGTATTTTTAGTAGAGATGGGGTTTTACCATGTTGGCCTGGTTGGTCTCAAACTTTTGACCTTGTGATATGTCTGCCTCAGCTTTCCAAAGTGTTGGGATTACAGACAGGAGTTACTGTGCCCAGCCTGTCTTTTCTTTTCAAAACCACCCTTGGTGATTAAATATTAAATATGTACTAATGGATATTACTTTGCTAAATATTGCCTAGTGAATATTAAATATTCTCACCTTTCAGACATGAACTTATGAATTCAATAACTGAAGATTTACAGCTTGATAAACCAGCTTCAGGAGGTACTTCTTCAGTCTTAAGTCAGATGAGAATATTATGTGCAATAATTATTGAATGATTAACATTGATTTCTTTAATGGTAACTTCCACATGAAATAATGTGTCTCTATTAATTATTTTTCAGGATAAGAGAATTCACGTTGTCAAAATTCTAATACTCTCTAAAAAGTCAACTCATTTTCTTTGTATTAACCCATTATAAATACGTGTAGATACTGGATTAATGGGTAGACAGAAGTAAAACAACAATCTTTATCCTACTTCTCAGATGCAAGATTTATTTGGCATAGAGCATTGAACAGTTTATTGTTCAAGTCTATGCCAGTCAACAGAACAAGCATTTATCAAATGTTCATGATACCCAGAACATAAGAAGGTTTCCTTTTAGAGTATGGAGCTATACATATCATGTCTTAATTGTTAGATGCATTTTCAAAGAAATAGAATTGATTTTCTCACTAGTTTTGGCTCTGGCGTGGTGTAGAGACAAAACAGAATGGAATTAAACTGTTTAGATTTACTAAAATCTAAATTTTAGATTGCCAGCTAGATCATGTCCCTAGTCTCCGCATAGCAAATGTCGCCTGCTGGCTGGCTGTTTGTTTGTTTACTTACTCATTTATTGAGATGGAGTTTTGCTGGGTTGCCCATGCTGGACTGCAGTGGCATGATCTCAGCTTGCTGTATCCTCGCACCTTCTGGGTTCAAGCAAATCTTCCTACTTCATGTTTCAAGTAGCTGGGATTACAGGCACCTGCCACCATGGCTGCCTAATTTTTGTATTTGTAGTAGAGATGGGGTTTCACCATGTTGGCCAGGCTGGTCTTGAACTTCTGACCTCAGGTGATCTGCCCGCTTCAGCCTCCCAAAATGCTGGGATTACAGGCATGAGCCACTGTGCCTGGCCTGGTAGCTGTTCTTGAGCACACGGAGTTCTGCTTTTTTCCAGCTTTAATGAATGTCTGGTTCTTCCTTTTTTTGTTCAGTGTTAGCATTGTTTCAATTATAAGTACATTCTGGAGTCTTAGAAATAATTTTAGTCACAGGAATAAAAAATACTGCCTATTTTATAATAATAATATTTAGGCTGGGCATGGTGGCTCATGCCTGTAATCAAGCACTTTGAAGGCCAAGGTGGGCAGATCACCTGAGGTCGGGAGTTCAAGACCAGCCTGACCAACATGGTGAAACCCTGTCTTAGAAAAATAATAATAATAACAATAACAACCCAAGTTAGTAAACCCATTACATTGAGGAAACTTGTATATTTGTGATTTTGACAGCAAAGGAAGATGATATACCAGAATCACCAAATTAAGAAAGACAGTGGATCAGCTTTTCTGCAAAAAAAAATTGGTAAGCCTTTTTTTCCTCATTTAAAGTATATTACTGAGTAATGTATTTTGTTTTGTTTTGTTTTCTTTATATGGAGTCTTGCTCTGTCACCCAGGCTGGAGTACAGTGGCTCTCTGCAACCTCTGCCTCCCAGATGCAAGTAATTTTCTTGCCTCACTCTCCCAAGTAGCTGAGATTACAGGCACACACCACCATGTATGGCTAACTTTTGTGTTTTTTTAGTAGAGATGGATTTCACCATGTTGGCCAGGCTTGTCTTGAACTTCTCATCCTGTGATTCCCATGTTTTGGCCTCCCAAAGTGCTGGCATTACAGATGTGAGCCACCACACCTGGTGGTAATGTTTTTCATAATTTTTTAATCTTAGGAAAGTAAATACAATGAGTAGGACTCAGCTCAAGCTTTCTCTTACTGGTTGGTTTTTTTTTTTTTTTTTTTTTTTGGTGATGGAGTTTCAGTGTTGTTGCTCAGGCTGGAGTGCAGAGTGGCACTGTCTTGGCTCACTGCAACCTTCACCTCCCAGGTTCAAGTGTTTGTCTTGCCTCAGCCTTTCAAATAGGTGGAATTGTAGGCACCTGCCACCATGCCTGGCTAATATTTGTATTTTTAGTAGAGATGGGGTTTCATCATTTTGGCCAGGCTAGCCTAAAACTCCTGACCTGAGTTGATTCCCCCGCTTCCCAACATGTTGGGATTACAGGCATGAGCCACTACACCTGGACTCTCTTACTTTTTTTTATTTTTTAATTTAGATGGAGTCTCATTCTGTCACCCAGGCTGGAGTGTAATGGCAGGATCTCAGTTAACTGCAACCTCTGCCTCCCGGTTTCAGGTGATTCTCCTGCCTCAGCCTCCCGACTAGATGGGATTGTAGGCATGACCACCACACTTGGCTAATTTTATATTTTCAGTAGAGACAGGGCTTTGCCTTGGTCAGGCTCCTCTCAAACTCCTGACCTCAGGTGGTTCAGCTGCCTCAGTGTTCCAAATTGCTGGGATTACAGATGTGAGCCACCATGCCTGGCCATTGTACAGTTTTTAATATGCATGGATTATGGAAATTTTAATCCTGCATAAGAGGAGAGAGTTGGGCAATGGAACCCCATATGCTTTTTACTGAGTAAATTTTTCTGTACAGTCAAAGGTTTTCTGCAGGAGGATTGACACCATTGGGAAGCCTCTTTTCTTTGGGCTTTACCTGTGCCTAGTGCCACTTTGTAGTAATGGAGAGGGCTTTGGCAGTAGCCACCACTGGGCATTTGAAGGTACAACCTCAGCCAACCTGTCTTTTCTATCTTGTTCCTTAAATACTTCATCAACACTTCAAAATACTTAGTTTTAATTTTTCATTCAACGTCTTTTGCCACCCAAAGTTGCTCTCTGCCCCATTTTTATTCTGCTTCTCAGCAGAATTCTAGGTTATTGTTCTCTGCCCCTCCCTCCCATTTTTTATAAAAATGTTCAAATCTTGTGGACTCTTCCTTGGCTCCTCTCTGTCTTATTTTCAGTCTCTCAAAGCCCCTGCCCTCATCCTCTCTACACTAGCGAGTGCCAGCTGGCAGCTTTATCCTGAGCGCGTGTGCATGCTCATGCGCTCTCGCTGTCTCTCTCTCTCTCTCTTTCTGTCTTTCTTTCTTTCTTTTTCTTCTCTTGTCACCCAGGCTGGAGTGCAGTGGCACAGTCTCGGCTCACTACAACCTCTGCCTCCCTGGTTCAAGCGATTCTCCTGCCTCAGCCTCCTGAGTAGCTGGGATTACAGATGTCCGCCACTATGCCTGGCTAATTTTTCTATATTTTTTTAGTAGAGATGGGGTTTCACCATGTTGGCCAGGCTGGTCTCGAAATCCTGACCTCGTGATCTGCCTTCCTTGGCCTCCCAAAGTGCTCAGATTACAGGCATGAGCCACTTTGCCCAGCCTCTTTCTCTCTTCTTACTGTGTCTTCCTTACAGATAATTCCACCCTGCCCACCTCTTAAAAATATATTGTCTGTGTCTTTGAGACCCTCATTCCTGGCCCTGAAGGTGCTCCTCATACCAGAACTCTATATTTACCTATCTGCTTGACCCTTCCTCAAGCTTCATGTGTCCCAGGCAAAGTCCCCATTTCCCTCTCCATGAGCTCCTCTCAGGGTCTACCAGCTACCCAAGCCAGATGCCCAGGAGTTACTCTGAGGTATGATTGTCTCCCTTCCCGTATCCAGCCTAGCAAGGCCTGCTGACTGCCCGAACACAAAGCCAGGTTCTACCCCAATCCCCTTCACTGCCCTCCCTTGCTCAGTTAGGGCCATGCCACAGAGCAACCAGGTCAGGCTCATTGAAAGTAGGAGGTGGAGACTGTCATTCTCTGTCATATGTAGTGCCTTCCACTGTACTTGGAGTAAACCTCACAGCTCCTGATTGGGTCTGCAGGGGCATTGGTGAGCTGCCCTCTGCCATTCCTCTGCTTTTCCCACATGTCATCTGTGGATTGCTTGCTCTGTGCCAGCCACTCTGGTCATTTGTGTGCCTTTCTTCTCAGGTCACAGCCTCCTGGCACCATTGCGCAGAGAGCTGGTGTTTGTGGAATGCTGTTAGTTGAGCGCTTTCTGTGCTTCTCCTTTCTACTAGCATCACAGTTGAAACATCATCATGTTGGAGAGGTCTTCACTGAGCACTGTCTCATCTCAGCCTCGAGGCTCACTGACTCATCCTCCTTTTATTTTTCGCTGCTGGCTGACTTTTTCCTCCTGCTTCAGCACAGTGGCTCTGACAGCCCAGATCATGCCTGTCTTGTTTACTTCTCGAGCAGGTTCTCAAATGATTCTTCTGCCTCAGCCTCCCAAGTAGCTGGGATCACAGGTGTACACCATCACACCCAGCTAATTTTATTTTTCATTTGTAGTAGAGATGGGGGTTCCACTATGTTGGTCAGGCTGCTCTGAAACTCCTGACCTAAGGTGATCCATTCACTTTGGCCTCCCAGAGTGCTGGGATTACAGGTGTGAGCCACTGTGCCTGGCCAGGAATGGGTTATTTTTATGCTTCCCCTTTTGAGACATTGCCATGGCATTTGTAAACTGTCATGGTGTTGGTGGGAGTGTAGTAGCAGTGAGGATGACCAGAGGCCACTCTTGTCACCATCTTGGTTTTTTGGCTGGTTGCTTTACTGCAACCCATTTTATCAGCAAGGTCTTTATGAATTGTATCTTGTGCTGACTTCCTTCCTCAGCCTGTGACTTAGAATGCCTTAACTATCTGAGAATGCAACTCAGTAGGTCTCAGCCTCATTTTACCCAGCTCCTATTTTAGATGGAGTTGCTCTGGTTCAAATGCCTCTGAAAGGGGAAAGGAAATCTTAGGATTTTCATGCCATGAACCACTGCAAGTATTGAGGAAATAATCACTACTTCCAACCTCATAATCCTGAAGTCATTTGATACCTGTGAGTCAGGTGTTGGAAACTGGGCAGTGTGGAAGACAGTGCCCAGCCCCATGCATTCTGGAGCATTTAATCTGGTGGGGAAATGTGTAGTAAGTAGGAGATATTTACTATGGAAGAAGGGGTTATGGTCTGGTAAAGAATTAAGTGGAATAAGGGGGATAATGAGGCAGAGCGTGTGATTGGGACAGTCTTGGTGATGCATGATGAGTACATTCTGCAGCTGGTCTCACCTCTTTCTAAAACTTACAGTTTTCACTTTCAACCCCAACAAATGGTTCTTTTTTATTTTATAGAAAGTTTGTCAGAATTAGTTTTATATATTTTCTTGTTGAATTAACAGAATAATTAGATTTAACATCACTCTCTTGTATGACTGAAAGGTTCTAATCTTTTATTGTTATTTATTTATGGGCATATTTTTACAGCTATGATAATTATTTCACTCTGATTTCTCAAAAACAGGTGTTTCTTATGTCAAAGAGCTTCTACACTAGATCCCTTCAAATTTGATACTAATAACATGAAGTAAGAATTTAAGACAAGTGTTTAGATGTTACAGGAAAGCCAATCTAATAACAAAGAAATTAATTAATTAATTTCAAGTTGACGAATTCAAGTTGAGTTGTGGAGGCAGGGGAGGCAGTTTGGTAAAGGAGTTCAGAAGTAAGGAGAAAGGTCTGGCAATAGATATCATTTTGGATTTAGTAGCATTTGGATTTGATAGCACCAAAATAATTTATCAGTGAGCTCCCTGACAGCTCCCTGCTTTTCTTTTTAAAGAAACAGGGTCGTGTTATGTTTTCTGGGCTGGGCTAGAACTCCTGGGCTCAGGTTATCCTCCTGTCTCAGTCTCCTAAGTAGTATCTAGGGCTATAGCCATGTGCCACCATGCCCAGGTTTGAGCCACTCCCAGCCGTCATGTTGCAAAATATTTAAATGTTACATTCAGAGGTGCTTGGGAGATCTGTATAAAAATAGCACCATGTAAATTGCTTGAATGTTTTTGTTTAGAGTTCTGTTTGGATGTGGCTTCAGAGCAGGGATTAGTAAATTCATTTTTACTTTTTTTTCTTAAGGCAGATTCTCATCTGTTGTTCAGGCTGGAGTGCAGTAGCTCACTGCAGCCTCTGCCTTTCGGGTTCAACTGATTCTCTTGCCTCAGCCTCCTGAGTAGCTGGGACTACAGGTGCCTGCCACCACACCCAGCTTTTTTTTTTTTTTGGTAGAGACAGGGTTTCACCATGTTGGCCAGGCTGGTTTCGAACTCCTGACCCAAGTGATCCCCCTGCCTTGGCTTTTCAAAGAGTTGGGATTACAGGCATGAGCCATGGTGCCTGGCCATTTTATTTTATTTTTTTACATTTTAAAATTACAGTTTTTATACCTATTCAGAAGTAGAGAAAATAGTACGATGAACACCTAAAATACTTATTCCTCAATTTCTGTGATCATTAAGATTGTCCTACATTTTGTTCTATTTCTTTTCCTCCCTTTGCAGGAATATTGTAAAGCAAATCAGAGTCTTCACGTCATTTTACCTGTTCAGTGCACGTCCCCAAACAGCCACTATCTCCTCACATCTGACAAAATTAACGATGATTTTTTGGTGTCAGCTCATTGTTTGCTTTATATCTGGATCCAAACAGTCTTCCTGTGCTAACTTTGGTCATTATGACTCTTTTAATCTAAACCAGCCTCTGCTTACTATTGTTATTTCATATTCCATGAATTCTTTGTGGAAAGTTATTTCTTGTAAAATAGCATGCTTACAAGGTTGAAGGGGTAAAGAATATTGATCTTGTGGTTGCAGTGCAGATGAAAGTGTAGCCTGAAATGTGCCAGTGTGCAGCAGCAATGGAGGAGGGTTATTAAAGGTCACCAGCAGGGAGTAGCAAAAGGCTGCTTCCAGATAGTATTTACAGGCTGGGTGCAATGGCTCATGCCTGTAATCCCAGCACTTTGGGAGGCCGAGATGGGCGAACCACCTGAGATCGGAAGTTTGAGACCATCCTGTCCAAAATGGTGAAACTTGGTCTCTACAAAAAAATACAAAAATTAGCGAGGCATGATGGCAGGTGTCAATAATCTTAGCTACTTGGGAGGCTGAGGCAGGAGGATTACTAGAACCTGGGAGGTGGAGGTTGCAGTGAGCTGAGATCATGCCACTGCACTCCAGCCTGGGTGACAGAGCAAGACTCTGTCTCAAAAAAAAAAAATACTACTTAGGTTGTATTCTTTATCTTCTATAATAATTTTCTTTCTGTGTCTTCCTAAGGGTATTAAAAAAAAGTTTTATCTTTTAGGATCTTTGAAGATCTTTTTTAGGACCGAAACTTTGAAGCACGTTCAAATGACTTTTATGTGGAAGGACTACCGGAAAACATTCCTTTCAGAAGTCCCTTGTGATATGGAATTCCAAGGCTGGAAAACATCAGTCAAGTGGGCAACTGAATTAAATTTTTATTAAAAGGTAAGATAATCTTCAGAAACAAATTAAGAAGAGATTAATTTGATAAAGATGGGCCTTTCATTACCATCTCATCATGACTTCTTTATATATACAATTAATATTTAGATTAGATGAATATTTAGATTGAACAAACATTTATTTAGTATAAGCGTTAGATGTGCAAAATTGGGTCTGACAAGAACCCTGTCGTTGGGGCTTAATACTAAGAAAAATACAATGAAAAGTTATTGAGCATTTTTGGGGAATAAAGCAAGGATGGCATATTCAGTTTCTGTCTCATTGAAGATCAATGAGAAAGTAAAAGCAAAGTATTATAAGTTCCATCAAAGAAAACCGTTTAAGTTTTTGTTTTTGATGTTATTTCTTTAATAAACAGCTGCTATCATTTCAGACCACTTGCTATTTAGGCCCTTAGGAATTTTTCACTAGAAGGCATGTAAAGAAAGGCATATATGTAAGGGATTTAACGTTCATCATTTGACTGTGTGACTGATCTTCAGAGCTGTAATTTTACTAACAAATTTTTCAGAAGCCAGTTAGCAGCTGCACCTCACCAGCCAGCCACCCTCAACATCCAGTGCTCTTTTGTTCTTCTGTTTCTCCTCAAACTTGGTTACTCTTACAAAGTCTTATAAACTTGCATTTATTTTCTTTCCTTTTTTCTTGCTCCATCACTCAGGCTGCAGTGCAGAGGTGTAATCACGGCTTGCTATATTTTCAAACTCAAGTAATACTCCCACCTCAGCCTCCCAAGTAGCTGGGACTGCAGATGTACACCACCATGCAAAGCTAATTTTTTTATTTTTTGTTGTAGAGATGGGATCATGCTGTGTCGCCCTGGATGGTCTTTAACTCCTGGCCTCGAGTGGTCCTCCTGCCTCAGCCTCCCAAAGTTCTGGGATTATATGCAGGTACAAGCCACCTGTGTCCAGCCCCCTATTTATTTTAAATAACAGCTTTATTGAAATATAGTTAACATACCTTACAATTGATTCATCAAAGTATGCAATTCAGTGGTCTTTAGAGTATTCATAGAGCTGTGCATCTGTCACCACAATCAATTTTAGAAGCTTTCATTACCCTATAGAGAAATCTACATTTCTTTGCCATTAGTTCCTACTCCCCCCATACCCCTGTGCTCCCATAGGCAACTACTGATCTATTTCCTGTCACTATAGAGTTGCATAATCTGTACCTTTTATATAAATAGGATTGTGCAATATGTGGGGATCTTTGGTGGCTAGCTTCTTTTTCACTCCTAGCACAATGTTTACAGAGTTTCTTCATGTCATAGCCTGTGTCAGTATTTCTTTCCTTTTATGGCTGAACAATATACTCCATGGTAGAGTCATACTACATTGTATTTATCTGTTCATCAGTTGATGAACATTTGGGTTGTTTTCATGTATTGGCCATTATGAATAATACTGCTCTGAAGATTCATGTACAAGTTTTTGTGTGGACATATATTTTTATTTCTCTGGGATATATGTCTAGGAGAGAAATTGTTGCATTCTATGATACTGTACTTTTAGGCTTTTGAGAAACTGTTTTCCAAAACGGTTATACCAGTCAGGTGTGGCGACTCACATCTATAATTTCAGCTAAATAAGAGGCTGAGGTGTGAGCATCACATGAGCCTATGAGTTAAAAGAGACCAGTCTGGGCAAGATAGCAAGACCCTCTTTATTTAGAAAAATGAAATGAAAATAACAAGAAAAGAAACACCCAAGCAAAGTGGTTAAACCATTTTATGTTCCCACCAGTAATGTATGTGGGTTCCAGTTTCTACATTTTCACCAACATTTCTTCTTTTGAGGAAAGATCTCACTGTGTCGCCCAGGCAGGAATGCAATGGTGTGATCATAGCTCACTGCAGCCTCAAACTCCCAGACCCTCATGATTCTTTTATGTCAGCCTCTTGTGAAGTTCACATGCCACCACACTCAGCTAATTTTTGTATTTTTAGTAGAGACAGTGTTTCACTATGTTGCCCAGTCTGGTTTCAAACTCCTGGACCCAAGTGATCCACTTGCCTTGGACTCCCAAACTGCTGGGATTACAGGCATGAACCACCATACCTGGTTATCTCTCTCTTGTCTCTTCCCTTCCTTCTTTGGTAGATGGAAGAAAATAGTATCCATGTCTTGTTTTTAGGCCTGAGACTTTTAAAGCATATGGGGGAATATATGATTGTATTTATAGATGTTTAGTGGGAGATAGCCTTGAATACAATGTGATATTAAAGGATTCCATTAAAGATATTTGTAGTATGCTTCAAAAGAGCTGTATGTTGCCAAGTTACCACTTTACTTGTGAGGACACATGCTCCATGAAGCACCTGATGAGACAATTTGCAATTGTTATTTTGTTTTGTTACTCTGTAGATTTAGTAGTGCTCAAGCATTCAGATGACCTTTCCTTAATTTTTTTTTTTCCTGAGACAGAGTCTTGCTCTGTCACCCTGGCTGGAGTATAGTGGTATGATCCTGGCTCACTGCAACCTCTGCTTCCTGGGTTCACGCAATTCTCCTTCCTCAGCCTCCTGAGTAGCTGCGATTACAGGTACCTGCCACCACTCCAGGCTAAATTTTGTGTTTTTAATAGAGACGGGGTTTCACCATGTTGGCCAGGCTGGTCTCAAACATTCAACCCATGATCTGCCTGCCTTGGTCTTTCAAAGTGTTGGGATTACACGTCTGAGCAACCGCCCCCAGCCTGTCTTTTCTTTTCAAAACCACCCTTGATGATTAAATGTTAAATATGTACTAGTGGATATTACTTTGCCAAATATTGCATAGTGAATATTAAATGTTTATTCTCACCTTTCAGACATGAACTTATTAATTCTACACCTGAAGATTTACAGTTTGATAAACCAGATTCAGGAGGTAGGTCTTCAGTATTAACTCAGATGAGAAGATCGTATGCAATAATTATTTAATGCTTACCATTGATTTTTTAATGGTACCTTTCATGTGAAATAAAATGCCTCTACTAATTATGTGCCAGGACAGGAGAATTCATGTTGTCCAAATTCTATTACTCTCTAGAACAATTAACTCAGTTTGTTTGTATTAACCCATTATAAATATGTGTAAATATTGCATTTATGTGTAGACAGAACTAAAATAACAGTATTTGTTTTACTTCTGAGATGCAATATTTATCTGGCATAGTGCATTGAACAGTTTATTATTGAAGTCAACTGAACAAGGATTCATCAACTATCTGTGATACCCAGGACATAAGGTTTCCTCTTAGAGTATGGAGCCATGCATATCATCTCTTAATTGTTAGATGTGTTTTGAAAGAAATAGAATGGATTTGGTTACTGGTTTTGTTGCTGGAGTGGAGAGGGACAAAACAGAATGGACTCATACTGTTTAGATTTCCTAAAATGGAAGGATTGCCAGCAGATCATATTTCTGGTCTCCCCATAGCAAATGTTTTCTTTCTTATTCTTTTTTTTTGAATGAAGTTTTGCTCTGTTACCCATCCTGGAGTGCAGTGGCGTGATCTCAGCTCACTGCAACCTCCACCTCCTGGGTTCAAGCCATTCTTCTGCCTCAGCCTCCCATGTAGCTGGGATTACAGGCACAAACAACCATGCCCATCTAATTTTTGTATAGTAGAGGTGGGGTTTCACCCTGTTGGCCAGGCTGGTCTTGAGCTCTTAACCTTAGGTGATCCACCTGCCTCAGCCTCCCAAGAATCTGGGATTACAGACACCTGCCACCATGCCCAGTTAATTTCTGTGTAGGTAGTAGAGATGAGGTTTCACCACATTGGCCAGGCTGCTCTCAGACTCCTGTCGTCGAATGATCCACCTGCCCTGGCCTCCCAAAATTCTGGGCTTACAGGTGTGAGCCACCCACATTTGGCTAGTGATTGACTTTCATTTATTTTATTTATTTATTTCTTTTTTGAGATGAAGTTTCACTCTCGTTGCCCAGGCTGAAGTACAGTGGTGTGATCTTGGCTTACAGCAACCTCCACCTCCTGGGTTCCAACAATTCTCCTGCCTCAGCCTCCCGAGTAGCTGGGATAACAGGTATGTGCCATCATGCCCAGCTAAGTTTGCGTTTTTAGTAAAGACAAGGGTTTTTAATGTTGGTCAGGCTGGTCTTGAACTCCTGACATCAAGTGATCTGCCTGCCTCAACCTTCCAAAGTGCTGAGACTACAGTTGTGAGCCACCACACCCAGCCCAGCTCTTGACTTTTTATAGCTGCTGTATTATTTTAATGTTGAGTAAATAAATACTAGCTCAAATGTTGTAGTTCAGGAGAATCTTCTGTTTGTTACTTTTAAAAATTATGTTTATAACTCCAGTAAGGGTTTTTACGAGTCCAATAAGGTTACACTGATGTTTATGTTTTGAAAATATTACCTTTTCTATCTAGTACTATATGTATTACATAATATTAGCTGGTGTGGTTTTCTGGCTTTATGATGTGGTTCAGATTGCTGTAGAAAGTCTGGCTTAAAATATTGGGATTTTGTTTTTTGAGCTGGAGTTTTGCTCTTGTCACCAATTCTGGAATGCAATGGCACAATCTCGGCTCGCCGCAACCTTCACCTCCCAGGTTCAAGTGATTCTTCTACCTCAGCTTCTCGAATAGGAGGGATTACAGGTGTCCACCACCACTCCTGCCTGATTTTTGTATTTTTATTATATGTGCGGTTTCCCTATGTCGGTAAGGCTGATCTGGAACTTGGGACCTCAAGTGATCCATTTGCCTTGGGCTTACCAAAGTGCTGGGAAACACCTGGCCTATGTTTTTATTGTATTGATAATTTAGTACTATTCTAAGTAAAAATAATTTGCTATTAAAGTTTTATAAATTGACTCTAACAGTTTTATAAATGTAAGTGCTTTTTATAAGATGAAATAGATTATGTTGTGGGGCTTTTTTGTGATGGTGATTTATTAGATTATTTTGTTTAAAGACAATAATTTTCAGCTGTTGTGACATTATAAAAAGTCTTCACACATTATAAAAAGTCTTCACATTTTATAATTTTAAAGCAGCATTAGTGGTAACTATCTTAGGGAAAGATACTGTTGTTTGATCTATAAGTATGATATTCAAGTTTAGTGTACAGCAAAGGATATTAAACTTCACTCAGCACTAATGTGTTATATGGTGCACTTGAAACTTTAGTACAAATGTCAATGTTTAGCAAATAGACTTTAACACATAATGATAGCAAAAAAATGGAGCTCTTCTGATGGGAGATTGTTGGTTATATTTAATTTTACTACTTCCCAGAATCTTGCTCTGTCACCCAGGGTAGAGGGCAGTGGCATGATCTCAGCTCACTGCAATGTCCACCTCTCAGGTCCAAGTGATCCTCCTGCCTCAGTGTCCCTGGTAGTTGGGACTACAGGTAAGTACCACCATGCCAGGGTAATTTTTATATTTTTAGTAGAGATGTGATTTCACCATGTCGGCCAGGCTGGTCTGGAACTCCTGACCTCAGTTGATCCACCCACTTAGGCCTTGCAAAGTGCTGGGGTTATAGGTGTGAGCCTGTTCAGTGACTAGCTCTTGAATTTTTTTTAAGACGTAGTTTCGCTTTTGTTGCCCAGGCTGGAGTGCAATGGCTTGATCTCAGCTCACCACAACCTCCTCCTCCTGGGTTCAAACGATTCTCCTGCCTCAGTCTCCCAAGTTGCTGGGATTACAGGTGTACACCACCATGTCTAGCTAATTTTGTATTTTGTATTTTTTTTTTTTAAGTAAAGACGGGAATTTTCCATGTTGGTTAGGCTGGTATCAAACTCCAGAACTCAGGTGATCTGACCGCCTTGGCCTCCCAAAGTGATTACAAGTATCAGCCACAGTGCCCATCCCAGCTCTTGACTTTTTATAGGTGTTGTTATTATTTCAATCTTGAGTAAATAAATGCTAGCTGAAATGTTGCAGTTCAGGAGAATCTTCTGTTTCTATTAGGTAAAAAAATTATTTTTATAAGTCCAATAAGGTTACACTAATGTTTATGTTTTGAAAATATTACATTTTTCATTTAGTACTGTGTATATTAAATAACATTAGCTGGTATGTTTTTCTGACCTTATAATTTGGCTCAGACTGTTGTAGAAAGCCTGGCTGTATCTACATTGGCTTAAATAATGAGATTATTTCTTTCTTTTTCTTTCTTTATTTTATTTAATTTTTTTTGAGCTGGAGTTTCCCCCTTGTTTCCCATGCTGGAGTGCAATGGCATGATCTGGGCTCACTGCAACCTCCACCTCCTGGGTTCAAGTGATTCTCCTACCTCAGCTTCCCGAGTAGCTGGGATTGCAGGCACCTGCCTCCACACATAGGTAGTTTTTGTATTTCTAGTAGAGATGGGTTTTCCCATGTTGGCAAGGATGGTCTTGAACTACTGATCTCATGTGATTCACTGACCTCAGCCTCCCAAAGTGCTGGATTACAGGTGCGAGTCACCGCGCCCAGCTGTAATGGGATATTTTACTGTAGACTTTGATAATCAGAATATTAGCATTTTGGAGGTTCTTTTTATTTTTTTCATACTATTTTTGGACTCAATTACAATAACAGAAGTAAAGAACAAATTATAAAAGTTAAAGAGCAATGCAGGGCATGGTGGCTCATGCCTGTCATTCTAGCACTTTGGGAGGCCAAGGCGGGTGGATCATGAGGACAGGAAATCAAGATCATTTTAGCCAATATGGTGAAATCCCATCTCTACTGAATGTACAAAAATTAGCTGGGTATGGTGGCAGGCACCTGTAATCCCAAATACTCAGGAGACTGAGGCAGAAGAATTGTTTGAACATGGGAGATGGAGGTTGCAGTGAGCTGAGATTGTGCCATTGCACTCCCACCTGACAACAGAGCAAGTCTTTGTCAAAAAAAAAAAAAAATTAAAGAGCAATACAGATTGAATAATTATTCTTTTCTACAATTGTACTTAAATATCCCTTTTTTTTTTCATTTACACCTCAAGCTGTAAAATCCAAAGGTACTTTTGTACTCTTGTACATTTTTTCCAGTCTCATGTTGAAGATCTTTATGAGGAAGGACTTCCCAAAGAACTTTTTTTTTACGAGACAAAGTTTTCACTCTTGTCACCCAGCGTGGAGTGCAGTGGTGTGATCTCAGCTGGCTGCAGTCTCTGTCTCCTGGGTTTAAGCAATTCTCCTTCCTCAGCCTCCTTATTGGCCAGGCTGGTCTCAAAATCCTGAGTTTGTGATTTACCTGCCTTGGTCTCTGAAAGTGCTGGGATTACAGGCATGAGCCATTGTACTCAGCCTATTTTACATATTTTTATCTTTCACTTTTTAATTTTTCTGGGTCCAACACTAAGTCAGTCATGCCAGTGTTAGCTTTTGAAACATGAACACTGCCCACATCTGACTGGAATGCAACTGACATTTTCTTTTAGCATTCTGATTGGCTCCATCTGAGGGGGTGCTCTGTGATGTCACAGGGCTGGGTTTTCAGGGAAGTCACAGGAACAGTACAGGGCCTGGAGATGTGTTGTCTTCTCCTCAAAGTGAAGCCTGGTAACTGCAATGTCTCAGCTAGCTCCTGTGTGTTGCTGGCTGGAAAAGGGCAGTTGACAAACTCTGGCCTGGTACAGTGTTTAGGTAGGTGAAAAATAGAAAACTGTGTCCGGGTGTGGCTGAGGTATGGGGATCCCGTCAGTCCAGGAGTTCAGGAGCAGCCTGGGCAATGTGGTGTGACCCTGTATCTGTAGTCCCACCTCAGCCTCCCAGCTACTTGAATTTCAGGGTTCAAGGCTGCAGTGACCTACGATACCACCACAGAACTCCAACCTGTGAGACTGAGGTAAACCCTGCCTAAAAGAACAAAAAGAAAACTCTCCAAGTGTGCAAGAGTAGGGGACTGCTTAAAGAAAACATGAGGCTCCCTGGGCCCTGTAATCCCAGCCCTTTGAGGGCCAAGGCAGGAGGATGGCTTGGGCTTAGGAGTTTGAGACCAGCCTGGGCAACATGATGAAACCCTGTCTCTACAAAAGATATAAAAATTAGTTAGGTGCGGTGCACACCTGGCCTGATTTTTGTAGAGATGAGGGGTGGTCTAGCTATGTTGCCCAGGCCGGTCTTGAACTCCTAGGTTGAAGCAACCTTCTGACCTTGTCTTTCAAAGTTGTTGGGATTACAGGCGTGAGCCACTGCCCGCACCTGGGTCAGGCTATTTAATAATGTAAGAAACTGCTCAGGCAGCTCAGTGGCTCATTCTTCTAATCTCTAATTTGGGAGGCTGAGATGAGCAGGTCACCTGAGGTCAGGGGATCGAGACCAGCCTGGCCAAAATGGTGAAACTCTGTCTCTACAAAAAATACAAAACTTAGCTGGGGGTGGTGGCAGGCTCCTGCATCCCAGCTACTCAGCAGGCTGAGGCAGGAGAATCATTTGAACCTGAGAAATGGAGCTTGGAGTGAGCCGAGATCGTGCCACTGCACTGCAGTCTGGGCAACAAGAGTGAAACTCTGTTTCAAGAAAAGAAAGTTAAAGAGCAATACAGATTCAATAATTATTCTTTGCTGCAAATTGTGTTTAAATGATATCCCTTTTTCTTTTTCTCCTTCTACCTCAAGCTGTAAAAGCCAAAGGTCTGGTGATGATTCCATACCCTTTTCTCCAGTCTCATGTTGAAGATATCTATGAAGAAAGCCTTCCCAAAGGAATTTGTTTTTCTTTTTCTTGAGACAGTTTTCACTCATCACCCAGGTCGGAGTGCTATGGTGTGATTTTGGCTCACTGGCTCTTGGGTTCAGGCAGTTCTGCCTCACAGTCGCCCACCACCATACAAGACTAATTTTTGTATTATTAGTAAAGAAGGTATTTTTCTATGTTGGCCAGGCTGGTCTTGAACTCCTGACCTCAGGTGATACTAGGTGGAATAAGGGGGATGGGTGTGATTGGGGCAGCCTTTATGATATGTGATGGGCATGTTCTGCGGTTGACTTCACCTCTTTCTAAAACTTCCACTGTTTACTCTCAGCTCTGACAATTGGTTCTTTTTTATTTTATAGAAAGTTTGTTAGAATTAGGTTTATATAGTTTCTTGTTGAATTGACAGAATAATTTCATTTAACATCATTCTTTAGTGTGACTGAAAGCCTCTAATTTTTTAGCGTTGTTTGTTTATGGGCATATTTCTTTTTACAGATACAACTATTTCATTTTGTGTGTTTCTTATTTCAAAGAGTTTCTATACTAGATCCTTTCAGATTTGGTGCTAATAACATAAAGTAAGAATTTAATACACATCTTAGATGTTAGAGGAAAGCCAGTCTAAGAGCAAAGAAATTAATTTCTCTCAAGTTGAGGTGTGGAGGTAGAGGAGGCAATTGGATAAATGAGTCCAGAAGTAAGGAGAAAAATCTGGCAGTAGATATAATTTTGGATTTTATAGTAGTGTTTTGATAGCCTTGTTGATATCACCAAAATAATTCATCAATGAGCTCCCTCACAGCTCCCCATTTCTTTTTAAAGAAACCAGATCTTGTTATGTTGTCTGGGCATGACTAGAACTTTTGGGCTCATGTTATTTTCCTGCCTCAGTGTCCTAAGTGGCTGGGGTTACAGCATGTGTTACCATGCCCAGCTTGGAACCACTCCCAGCCATCAGGTTGCAAAATATTTAAATTTACATGCAAAGATGCAAGGGAGATATCTATATAAATAACACCATGTAAATTGCTAGAATCTTTCTTTTTAGAATTTTGTTTGGATGTGGCTTCAGAGCAGGGAATAGTAAATTAATTTTTACTTTATTTTTGTTTTTGTTTTTGGTTGTTTTTTTTTTTAAGCAGATTCTCACTCTGTCACCCAGACTGGAGTCTAGTGGCCTGATCTTGGCTCAGTGTAGCCTCTTCCTGCTGAAGGCAAGTGATTCTCTTGCCTCAGCCTCCTGAGTAGCTGGGACTACAGGTACCTGTCACCACATTTGGCTAATTTTGTGTGTGTGTATTTTTGGTAGAGACATGGTTTCACCATGTTGGCCAAGCTGGTCTCTTTAACTCCTGACCCAAGTGATCCACCTGCCTCGGCCTTACAAAGTGCTGGAATTATAGAAGTAAGCCACTGCTCCCAGCCATTTTTTTTTACATTTTTAAATTATAGTTTTTATACCTATTCAAAAGTAGAGGAAATAGTACAATAAACACTAAAATACCCGTTCCTCAGTTTCTGTGATTATTAAGATTGTTCACATTTTGTTCTGCTATTCTTTTACCTCCCTTTGCAGGAATATTATAAAGCAAATTGCAGTCATCACATCATTTTATCTGTTCAGTGTGCATCCCCGAACAGCCACTCTCTCATATCTGACAAATTTAGCAATGATTTTTTGGTGTCAGTTCATATGTAGCCCTTAGTTGAGTTTCCTTACTCTTATCTGAATAGTATCTCATTTCCTCATCTGAAAAAATTTTGTTTTAAATCTGGCTTTAAACAATCTTCATGTGTTAACTTTGGTCGTTATGCCTCTTTTAATCTAAATCAGCCTCTCCTTACTATTTTTAACTCCTATTCCATGAATTCTTTGTGGAAGGTTAATTCTTATTAAATAGCATGCTCACGAGGTTGAAGGGGTAAAGAACATTGATCTCATGGCTGCAGTGCAGATGAAAGTGTAGCCTGAAATGCACTACTGTAAGGCAGCCAATGGAGGACGGTTATTACAGTCAGGAGCAGGTAGTAGCAAAAAGTTGCTTCCAAATAGTGTTTATGACTGGGCACATTGGCTCATGCCTGTAATCCCAGCACTTTGGGAAGCCATGGTGGGTGGATCACCTGAGGTCAGGAGTTAGAGACCAGCCTGGCCAACATAGTTAACCCCTCTCTCTACTAAAAATATGCAAAAATTAGACAGACATGCTGGCAGGCACCTGTAATCTCAGCTACTTGGGAGACTGAGGCAGGAGAATTGCTTGAACCCGAGAGGCAGAGATTACAAGGAATTGAGATCATGCCACTGCACATCAGCTTAGCTTATATTTTTTATTGTCTATAATGATTTTCTGTCTTTCTCTTCTGTTTAAGGTTATTGAAAAACAAAGTTTAATCTTTGAAGATCGTTTTTAAGACCAAAATTTGAAGGACATGCGAATGATCTGTGTGTGGAAGAACTACTGGAAAACATTCCTTTCAGAAATCCCTCATGATAGGGAATCCAAGACTGGAAAACATCATTCAAGTGGGCAATCAAATTAAATTTGTTATTAAGAGGTAAGATGTTAATCTGCATACACAAATTCAGTGTCTTCCCTAAGAAGAGATTAATTTGATGAAGATGGGCCTTTTGTTCCCCTCTCATCATGACTTTTTTATACTTACATTTCACACTTAGTTTCACTTATTAAACAAACATTTATTTACTATAAATATCAGATGAATAAAATATGCCCTTACATACAGAATACAGTGTAAGGGTTGGGCTAGGGTGTCATCAACTTTTAGAGAGTGATTGCAGCTAATTGACTCCTTGTTCATTCTTGCATTTATTCAGTATAGAAGTAGTAACAGAGGTTTTAAGTTAACCTGCTTGTGGATAATTAACATGGTTAAGAGTGGTTTTAAGAATGATAAAAACTTTTGGTTCTGAGGTCCAGAATAAACACCATTAAGAAGTAATTCTTTTTCAACCTCCCCCTTAGAGGAGCAGCTAGCATGAAGTTTACATGAGTAAACAGAGTAGAGAAAAAGGAATGTGGAGTAAACAGACTCAACCAGGGAAGGTTTTATTATCTTAATGTTCACTTTATGACTTAAAGCTCCAATGTAAGAATTGGCTATCTTCATCCTGGCTCATTAAAACTTTTCAGCTTCTCAAAGGTTTGAGACGATATTCTATACTTCCCTAATATTTTTCTTAATATTTTTCCAGCCACCCTGAGTGAATCCCAGCACTGCCCTGCATAAAATACATTCTTAATTATATTTCCTATTTGATGTCTGACTCCCCCTCCTCCTTCACTAAAATGTAAGTAAGGGAAGTGATTTTGTCTGTTTTATTCTGTTGTAACCCTAAATACCTAGAAGGTGCTCAGTAAATATTTGTTGTTTGAATGAAAAAATCAGCCTATTATTGAATCAGTCAGTCTTCTGTGGAAGGGACTTCTCATACCAGTGGTGCATATCTGTATGATAGCTGGCATAGGGAGGGATGTGGTCAGAATGGCTCTGTCTATGTGGACTAGTTTTGCTTAGCATAATCCCAGCAGGCTCCTATTGGGGTTAAGCCACAGTTTCAACCTTACTAATTAGTATCATTCTTTAATCATAAAGCCAGAGGATGTTAAGATTGGAATTGATCTGGGAGACTATTCAGTCTGCTTTTCTCTATTGATATGAGAATAACCGAGCCTAGAGAAAGTAAGCTGATTACTCACAATCGTAAAGCTTTAGAGATCAACCTGAAATTAGGCTTCTGATGTCAGATTCTGTAGTGTTTCCTTCATGTGTTCCCCCTGGCTGAGACAGTTCATGGGCTTTCAGGTTTGACATTTTTCTCTCCAGTCTCTAAACAGAAGCTTTCATCTGGACATTCTAGGTTAGCATAGATGGATAATGACCCTGCAATGTGTGGATAATCCCAAAGGTTGACAACTGTGGATGGGAACTCCAAGATGTGTCAGGAGTACCACAGGCATGCATGCTCACTTCTCCATTCATTGGAGCTGTATACAGTGGAAAGGAAACCCAAATCAAATCAATACACTTTGTTGCTTCAGTTCTATTATTACATGTCACAGTCCAATATGTCTCCATTTAAATTCAGACTTTTTGATGAATCATCAGACCAGCTGCAGGCCCTTTGGGTCAGAAGTCTTGATCTCACCAACTGTTGATTTTCTTAATGGACTTCCTTACTTCAGGCATTTATGTGTAGCTGGGCTATTGTGGAGTTGTCAGAGGGGTGTGGAGCCCTCTCTTTTTGGGATAGTCGGTTCTCTCCGTGTAGCATGTCCTGAAGCTGGGCTATCTCCACTCTCTTTGTGTGTGAAGTCTTTTGTTAAGCAGGGTAAAGTGAGAGAGGACTTCTAAAGAGAAAAACTCCTCCAGCATTTGCTGAAACATGTTTATGAACTGACCAAGATGTAATTGGATGGCATGAAAGAAGCTAAAATTTATTTAATTTCTTGCTATCTGGTTTGTGGCATATGGTGCCTTAAATTGAGTTTAGAAGAAACTTTTCAGATGGAATTTTGTTCTGTTGCCCAGGTTGGAGTGTAGTGGCGTGATCTCAGCTCACTGCAACCTTTGCCTCCTGGATTCAAGTGATTTTCCTGCCTCAGCCTCCCAAGTAGCTGGGATCACAGGCACCTGCCACCATGCCTGGCTAATTTTTATATTTTTAGTAGAGATGAGGTTTTACCATATTGGCCAGGCTGCTCTCAAACTCCTGACCTCAACTGATCTGCCCACCTCAGCCTCACAAAGTGTTGGGATTACAGGTTTGAGCCACTGCGCCTGCCGAGGGTGTCATATTTAATTCTACTTCCTGTGGTCTCCTACAATACCAATCATGCATGGAGCCCATGGTTTTGCGGCACCTAGTTTTACTCAAACAAAGGCCCTGGACTTTTATAGTTTACACTGACATATTCTAGTTTGCCTCTGAAATGTACTCTGAGGATGCTGACTTCCAGATTGTCATTCTTGGCTTCCAGATAGTTATTTTTGGGTGAAGGGAATTTCAAGTCTTTTGAGTATAGTAGCCACACCACTTTGCTTCATTTTGGTTTGGTTACAAAATTTATTTTAGCTTAGTTTTCTTAGATTAAGTGGGCAAAGACAAAGCAGAAGATTTTGGGAGGCTAAGGTGGGTAGATCATGAGGTCAGGAGTTTGAGACTGATGTGGCCAATGTGGTGAAATTCTGTCTTTCCTAAAAATACAAAAGTTAGCTAAGCATGGTGGTGCATACTTGTAATCCCCACCACTTGGGAGGCTGAGGCAGGTGAATTGCTTGAACCCAGGAGCCTCTTGAGAAGTTGGGACTACAGCACATGCCACCATACTCAGCTAATTTTTTTTATTTTTAGTGGAGACAAGGTTTCTCTATGTCACCCAGGCTGGTTTCAAACTCCTGGACCTAAGTGCTTCACCTGCCGTGGCCTTTCAAACTGCTGCAATTACAGGTGTGAACCACCATGCCTGGTTTTTTTTTTTTTTCTCATTTTTCTCTCTTCCCTTCCTTCTTTGGTAGATGGAAATGTGTCATGTACCAGCTCTTCATCCAATGACTGCTCCTCAGTTCCAAATTCACCCTTCATTGCCTGCTCTGCAAACATAGAGGTTGGTTCCTTTAATGCTTCCTCTGTCAACTGGTGCATTATTAAATGTTGTCGGTACATGGTGCTAGAGGCTCATTATAAGAGGCTTTTCTTTATAGCTGTGTGCAAATCTTCACAGGCACTGAGCTCCTCCAGCACCAGGCCCTGCCCTGCATGGTGCTTAGCAGCACACAGTGACCAGCAGTTTCTCTGCATTTGCCTGGGTGGTTTTGTAGTGAGACAACTGTTTACTAATAGGTTAAGCTAGCACCCTAGATGGTGAATTTTCAGCAAATTCCAGAGGGCATATTGCTAGCATGTTCTACCATGTGGTAATGCAGCAATTCTGCTATTGAATTACCCATGACTGTGCCCTCTCCAAGGGGCTCTGAATCTCAGCCTTAGTGGGGAATCCTTTCCTTGGTCACTCTATCTCAGTGTAGGGACAGTAGGAAGTTACTGCTCATTGTAACAGCTTGTTTTATACTTTGTTTTTTTGAGGCAGGGTCTCTCTCTATTGCCCAGTCTAAAGTGCAGTGGTGCAATCATGGCTCACCGCAGCCTTAACCTCCAGGGCTGAAGCAATTTTTTCACCTCAGCCTCCCAAGTAACTAGGACTACAAGTGTGTGCCACCACATCTGACTTTTTTTTTTTTTTTTTTTTTTTTGTAGAGCCAGGGTCTCACTGTGTTTCTGAGGCTGGTCTCAAACTGCTGGCCTCAAGCAGTCCTCCTGCCTTGGCTTCCCAAATTGTTGGAATTGTAAGCATGAGCCACCATGTCTGGCCTCTGCTAGCCCTATGTTCTCTAGAGTTCTCTTTACTTTTGTAGCCAGTCTCTCATATGGTGTTCCCTTGTTGTATAATTTTTTTTCTATTTAAAATTTTACCACTTTAAACTTTGGGTCATTTATATCTTTTGATTGGACTCTGACAAATACAGAACTGATGCTAGGAAGGGTTCTGGGAGAAAGACCCACACAGATGGGATTTGGGCATAGGTTTGGTTATCCAAGGGGCAGCGTTGAGCTCCTTGTCAATGAGAAATTGAATGCTGGTGATTTTTAGGAAGTGACCTCATAATGTTTCAAGCTACCACTTACTGTTGATTGTGATGAAATGCCAGCTGAGACACATGCCTTAGGAGCTAAGTGGCTTCTGTACTTGACCACTATGAAGACTGGTGTGGGGAGGGTCCTTTTGGATGCAATTGAGCAGGGGCACCTAATCCCTGAATCACAGGCCTGTACTTGTCCACACAGCAGGAGGTGAGCAGCAGGTGAGCGAGCAAAGCTTCATTTGTATTTACAGCCACTCCCCTCTTTGCCACCTGATCTCCACCTCCTGTCAGGTCAGTGGCAGCATTAGATTCTCATAGGAGCAGAAACCCTATTATGTAACTGTGCATACAGGGGTTCTACCTTGCTCTGTTTTTATTAGAATCTAATGCCTGATAATCTGTCACTATCTTTCATCACCCCCAGATGGGACCATCTAGTTGCAGGAAAACAAACAAGCTCAGGACTCCCATTGATTGTACCTTATGCTGAGTTATATAATTATTATATACTACAATGTAATAATTACAAAGTGCACAATAAATGTAATGTGCTTGAAATATTCCAAAACTGCCCCCTGCCCCCCAGTCTGTGGAAAAATTGTCTTCCATAATATTGGTCCCTGGTGCCAAAAAAACTGGGGACTGCTGCACTTGAGCACTCACAGAGAGAAAAACACAAAGCTCAAGTCTTAGCATAAGTCATGGTCTAAGATCCAGAGAGCTTCCATGATATCCCAAACATAATTCCTTATTTCTTGTATCCACAGGGTTATTATTGAAAATCAAACACAAACTTAAATGTGTGAATTGCTGAATTAAAATGACAGTTGAATTCACTGCATCACCAAGGTTCTCATGAGAACATGGGGGCACTAACAGGTGAAGAATGGGATTCTCTTACTTTTTCAGACAGTCTCCCTCTGTTGCCCAGGCTAGAGCACAGTGGTGTGATCTTGGCTCACTGCAGTCTCAACCTCCCAGGCTTAAGCTACCTTCCTGCCTCAGCCTCTGGGATAGCTGAGGTATGACCACAGGTATGAGCCACCACACCCAAGTAATATTTTGTGTTTTGTAGAGATGTGGTTTCACCACATTGCCCAGACTGGTCTTAAACTCCTGGGCTCAAGACATCAACCCACCTTAGACTTCTAAAGTTTTGAGATTATAGGCAGCAGACACCATGCCCGGCCCTGTTTTCTTTGGTACTGGTTTATTGTGAAGGCCTCCAATTGTCTTTCTGACTTCTAGGCTTGCTCACTTCAGCCTGTTCACTGAAGCCAGAAGAATTTTTCTAAAAGGCAAATTTGGGTCAGAATGGTTCTTGATTAAAACCTGCTGGTGACTGCCCATTGCCTTTAAGATAAAATCCAAACTAATTTGGCCACAGGGCCTGGTAAGAGCTGGCCTCGGCTCCAGTTTTATCCTGCACCATTCTCCTCATATCCCTACCCTCCAGCCACATGGAATGTCAGTTTCCTTGGGGGACTTTACTGGTGTCCTTCAGGAAACCTTCCCCTACCCTCATCATTACTCTTTGACTCTCATATTTGCTCATCTTTAGCCTCAGGCAAGGTGTCTCACCCCATTCTCTATGATGCGACAAGAAGCCCCTTGGGAGCATTTTAGTCCCACTCTGTACTTCTGTCATTGTGATCCTCACAGTCTGGTAAGTGTTTGCATATGATTGCTATATTAGTCTGTTTTGCATTGTTATAAGCATATATGTGAGACTCAGTACTTTATAAATAAAAAAGGTTGTCCAGGCACAGCAGCTCATGCCTGTAATCCCAGCACTTTGGGAAGCCAAGGCAGGTGGATCACAAGGTCAAGGGATTGAGACCATCCTGGCCAACATGGTGAAACCCCATCTCTACTAAAATATAAAAATTAAGCTGAGCTTCCTGGTGCATGCCTGTAATCCCAGCTACTCAGGAGGCTAAGGCAGGAGAATTACTTGAACCAAGGAGTTGGAGGTTGCAGTGAGCCTACATCGTGCCACTGCACTCCAGCCTGGATGATAGAGTGAGACTCCATCTCAAAATAATAATCATCATAACAAACTTAGCTAGGTATGGTGGTACATGCTTGTAATCCCAACTACTTGGGAGGCAAGATCACTTGAGCCCAGGAGATGGAATCTGCAGTGAGTCATAATCACCTCACTTTACTTCAAGCCTGTGTGACAGAGGTGAACTCTGTATCTAAAAAAGAAAATAGTCACTGGGGAAAAAAGACTAAAGCAAAGTTGTCAGGAGAGTCCTGTGAATGTGGGTCATGTCAGCAGAGTGTAGGGACTACTGGGCAGGAGGGACTTGAAGAATGGGGTGGTGGAGACGAGGTTATTTATCCTAAACAGTTTGCCCTGTAGCATGTAGATCAAATATCTCGTGTTGGCTGCTGGTGACTGAACTGGGCTTCCAGTTTTCGTGTTTGGTTTGACCATCACAGTATTGAAAAACCTTTGAAGTGAATACCTTGCAATTTGCTACAGTTCCTCCTGGTCTCTGGCCTTACTCCAGCCTCCTTTCTTCATGTAGGTTGCCTGATCTGCTGAGACCTGTGTTTGCTCTTCCTGCAGATGGGTGGGTAGGAGGCAATTTAAGGAGGAACATTTAATATATGATATTTTATATATGTATATATATGTATGTGTGTGTGTGTGTGAGCATATATATACATATATAAAGATAAATAGACTGGGTGTGGTGGCTAAAGCCTATAATTCCAGCACTTTGGGGGGACCAAGGCAGGAGGATTAGTTTGATCTAGGAGTTCAAGACCAGCCTACGCCACATAGTGGCCTTCTCTACAAAAAATTTAAAAAATTAGGCTTGGTGGCATGCACCTGTAATCCCAGCTCCTTGGGAGGTTGAAGTGGGAGGATCGCTTGAGCCCAGGAGTTGAAAGCTGCAGTGAGCTGTGATCTCACCACTGTGCTCCAGTCTTGGTAACAGAGTGAGACCCAATCTCAGAAGAAAAAAAAAAGAGAGAGATAAATAGATCCAGCACTAATGGGAGTATACTTTTGAGTGCTCTTTAGGACAAAATTATATTTTAATATTTTTTTCTTCCTTAAATTTTTTATATTCTAGCAAAGCATTTCTTCCACAAGGAGAAATAAATGTCATCCAAAGAGCCGTAGGAGCAAGGGCAGACTCAGAAAGTCAGAAGCACTGTAGTCATTTTGAGCCTTCTATCTTCGGACTGCTAAGCTGGCAGTGCCAGGCTGGGTCCATTTTTTCTCCTCTTTAATTTCTTAAACTGAAAGAGTCCTGCTAGAATCTGAAGTCAGATCTGTAGGTCAGCATTGACGTCAGCAGTTTGCTATGTTGTGAGGTCTTACCCCAGGAACTACAGAATACAAAATGCAAGAGGAAAGCTGGAATAGAGCATCTCCTTGGCGAAATGAGAGCCAGAGATACGGCGGCAGTGCCCAATGGAGACAGCCAGCCAAATTTAAATTACATTTGGCAGTGCCTTGTGGAAAGCTGTACTTTGGTTAGATCTCCACAATCGGAATGTGACCTTCATATTATTGGTCCACAAACTCCAGTTTCTCATGTTGCTGCATAGGTCAGTGTCGTAGGGAGTGGTTCATCTTAGCAGATGCTTCCTGGTTTTCATGCAGGTGTTCCATTTATTAATTGACAAAGGAGGCATATTTCTCCTCTGGCAACCAGAAGATTTGTCCTTTCCCTCGGGACTCCCCTTGAAGGTTTCTTGGAAACTAAGCAGAGGATGAGGAAAGGCTGTGAACACGCTTGCTGGTCCCTTCGTGTCCTACAAAAGAGCACACCTGTAACCGGAAGACCCTTTTTATTAGTCAAGGCTGGACAGACTGAGGGGGGTGTGTGTGTAGACATGGTCTCACTCTGTCACCCAGGCTGGAGTGTAGTGGTGAGATCATTGCTCACAGCAGCTTCCACTTGCTGGGTTCAACTATCCTCCCACTTAAGCCTCCAGGGTAGCTAGGACTATAGGAAT